GGAGGAGGACGAGGACGAGGAGGAGGAGGAGGGGGAGGAGGAGGAGGAGGAGGAGGAGGAGGAGGAGGAGGAAGAGGAGGACGAGGAGGACGAGGAGGAGGAGGCGGAGGAGGAGGAGGGGGAGGAGGATAAGGAGGATGAGGAGGAGGGTGACTAGGAGATCGATCTCCTCCCTCCGTGTCGTCACTCCCTCTTTCTGCATTCCACATCAGTTGCTCTAAGTATCCAAGCAGGGGCCAGAGTGAGTTTCCCCCTTTCCACTGGCCTTGCGGCTGGGACGGGTGGGATTTGTTTGCGCCAGTCACCAGGCGAATCAGCCACCAGCCTGCAGCAAGAGGCTCGGCGAAGCCGCTCTACTGGGTGGTGAGGCGACGCTGCTCTACCGGATGGTGAAGGAGCCAGCGAAGCAGAGAGGGCTCGTGGGGTGAAGCACGAGCTCTTGGGACCGAGGAAGAGATCGAAGACGAGGGGCCGAGGCTCTCTTGGCCCTCTTGGGGCCCGCCGATGCGCGCGCCCCCGCGGCCACGGCCCGATGCCACTCCCAGACATGTTCGCGCCGTGAAGCAACCACGACGGACGGTCTTTGGCTGTTTTCGGACTCCTGGGACCCTCGCCGGGGCCATGGGCCGTCAAACAACGATTCGGGATGAAAAACAAGGCGTGGGGAAAGGTCGGATTTTCTGGGGGCTGCGTGTTGAACATGTCACGGCCTCGCACGTCTGCGACTTGGGCCTGCTTGGCCCTCCCTGGCGCGCGCACGGCGTTGCCGCGGCCTCATGCCAGACAACGGTTGGCGAATCACCTCAGAAGAAGGGGGAGGAGGAGGAGAAGGAGGAGGAGGAGGTGGAGGAGTAGGAGGAGGAGGCGGAACAATAACAATAATACGACGAAGGAGAAGAGTAACCATACGAAGCATCATATGACGTAGAAGAATAATCACACGACTAAGACAACTACGAGTAATACTACGACTAAACGAGTAATGATAATCATACGAATGATAATAATTGTAGTGAGAAGAAGGATACACCTATTCATACTATTCAGAAGAATGATCATACGAATAAGAAGATGGCTACTACTGATATGAAAACTGCCAACAATATTACGAGGGTCAACCATGCTACAACGACTACGAGAAGTAATACTTAGCAGAAGCATCACATCAATGATACTATTCAGAAGACGAGTACTAATATCAAAAATACTATCCATAATATCAATCACACGAACGCGCATACTACTACTACTACTACTACTACTACTACTACTACTACTACTACTCCTACTCGTACAACTCCTACTACTCATGCGAATCCTGTTGTTACTACTACTACTACTACTATTACTACTACTACTACTATTACTCCTACGACTACTATTACTACTACCATTACTATTATTACCATTACGACGGCGACGCTTACGACGACTACTACTACTACTACTGCTGCTACTACTACTACTACGACTACTACAACTACAACTACAACTACAACTACAACAACAACTACTACTACTACTGCTACTACGACGACTACGACTACTACTTACTACTACTACGACTACTACGACTACTACTCCTACTACTACGACTACTACTACTACTACTACTACTACTACTATTACGACTACTATTGCTACTACTACTACTACTACTACTACTGCCTTTACTACTACTGCTACTACTACTACTACGGCGACTACTACTACTACTACTACTACTACTACTACTACTACTACTACTCCTACTACTACTACTACTACTACTACTACTACTACTACTACTACTACTACTACTACTACTACTACTACTACTACTACTACTACTACTACTACTACTACTACTACTACTACTACTACTACTACTACAACTACAACTACAACTACAACTACAACTACTACTACCACTACAACTGCTACTACTAGCACTACTCGCACTACTACTACTACCACTACTACTACTACTGCTGCTGCTACTACTACTACTACTACGACGAACACTCGCACTAATAGGAATACTACAAGACGAAGAAGAAGAGGAGGAGGAGGAGGAATAGGCTTACTGATGCAACAGGCCACGCCTCATGTTTGCCTCACGTCAAAGAGGAGGAGGAGAAGGAGGAGGAAGACGAGGAGGAGGAGGAGGAGGAGGAGGAGGAGGAGGAGGAGTAGGAAGAGGAGGAGGAGGAGGAGGAGGAGGAGGAGGAGGAGGAGGAAGAGGAGAAGGAAGAGGACGGTCGGTCGGTAGGTCGGTCGGTCGGTATGTAGGTATGTATGTAGGTAGATGGAAGGCCAATAACGCAACAGACCACGCCTCATGCATGCCTCACGGCACAAAGGAGGAAGATGAGGAGGAGGAGGAGGAGGAGGAGGAGGCGAGAGAAAAGAGGAGAGGAGGAGGAGGAGGGGGAGGAGGGGGAGGAGGCGGGTGAAGACATCCTGCCTCTTTGCTTTCCTCGCCGCCGCTCTGCGCTCTCCGCTCGCCAGCTCCCGAGGGCCGCTCAGGGCCGCCAGGGTCGCCCGAGGGTTGCACAGGGCCGCGCAGGGACTCCCCAGGCCAGCGAGCGCCCGTCCGAAGGCGCGCTGAGGTTCCATGAGGCCCATGCCAGAGTCCACACACACATATATATACACATGTATGTCTGTCTGTCTGTCTGTCTGTCTGTCTGTCTGTCTGTCTGTCTGTCTGTCTGTCTGTCTGTCTGTCTGTCTGTATGTCTGTATGTCTGTATGTCTGTATGTCTGTATGTCTGTATGTCTGTATGTCTGTATGTCTGTATGTGTATATTTATACACAACAAAAGCCTCTGGGCCATAACGCTTGTTATGCCCCCTACCCTCCTCCCCCTCCCCACCGTCCCCCATATAGTAACTCTCCCCCCCTCAGTGCGTCCCCGGCACTGCCGCAGTGCGTCCAACACCACAGTCTAGGGGGGGGGCGCTACGTTATGCCCCCTCCTGCCCCCCCCTCTCCCCCCATAACGCCCGTTATGGCCGCGAATTAAAAAGTGCGCTCTTTGCACAGCGTGGCCTTTTCGAGGTGTGGGCTGCTTCCTGGGGGCCTTCTCTTCCTGTTGCTCCGTTTTGTTGGGAGAGTCCCAGGGCTGGGTGGGGGCCCCCGGCGGCCGTCCTCCTCCTCTTCCTCCTCCTCCTCCTCCTCCCTCCTCCTCCACCTCCACCTCCTCCTCCTCCTCCTCCTCCTCCTCCTCCAGTTGCCATATGGGCCTAAGAGATTGTCAGGGCAGCGCGCGCACGCCTCCCGCCATTCCACAGCATGTGCAGGAAGGATTGACTGGGCAGAGGCCCGCATGGCGGCCACGGCATGGACTGGCAGCAGGATATATTCGAGGAAGCAACCACCTTCGACATCATCATCTTGACGGGAACACACAGGTGGAGGCGAGAGCAGTACCCTGAACAGCGGAGAATTCAGGGCACCAGAACCTACGATGCGGGCTGGAGGACGGGCACGTTCACCAACAGGAGCACGGGCATAACGATGGGGCTCCAAGGCAAACTCAGAGGAGCGCAAATGGTCAACGTTCAGGAGCCGGCCGAAGAGCTATGCGGACGAGGATTAGCACGACACGCAGCTTACAGTCATCGGCTACTATTGCCCGCCGCAACCAAAGACGACAGCGGACTGCAAGCAGTACTACGCAACCATCGTACGGCTGTTCAAATGGATGGACTCAATTGCGGCCATTCGACCCAGAGGCAGCTTACTGTTCACAGCGGGAGACCTGAATGACGGCATCGGCATCACCAGCAAAAGCGAGCACCCAGAGAGCCCCTCGCTGGGACCAGGACGTGCAAAGGAGAAACTACCTGGCGGAGCGGGACACAAAGCAAGACAGTACGCGGAACGGCATGGACTCACAGTTGCGAATGCCACAAGGACCTGGCGACCCACATTCTTCGGAGGGACTTCGGCGAGCTGCATCGACTACATCATGATACCTACCTCGCTGGCCAATAGCATTATCTCACAGGGGCCGCTGCAGCGCATGGGCTCATCGACTACAGCACATCTGAAGCAGACAACACAAAGCTCAGGTACCAGGTCAAGCTACAGTTCGCATCTCATGACGCCAAGGAGTGCGACCCAAGCAAGCTGCAGTAATATGGGGCAGAGACAAACTGTCAGCGGCAGCACGCAAGGGACTACACGTAGACGAGTTTATCCAGGACGTCGAGCATCAGGTCGAGAACTAAGACATACAGGGCAAAGGCATTCACCAGCTGTTCGTGGACGTGAACCAGATCATCATCACTTCGGCGCAGAGGTACTACGGCCAACAACAACAACGACCAGAAGAGTATCATATCCTACGAGACAGACGCATGGAACTGCTAAGACGTAAACGAGACCTACGCGAACGACTACGGCGAGACGGAGACCCACTTTGCATCGCGATCGCGAACGCAGACACCGCGAGGGTCGACTACCTACCAGTACGCGCCGACGGAGACAACCCCTATGACGCTCCAGCGACCTCGAACCTGGACGACATCGGGCACGAGCTGAAGAGCATCACCGCCACCTGCGCAGCATGGCGCAAACTGGAGTATCAGAAGAAGACAGACGCCAGGGTCGAGGAGCTGTACGAGGCATGAGAACGACGAGACCTCGCTCGCGCAGGCCGACTGTCCAGGCTGATCGCGGGAGGCAGATAATAACCGCGTAAACTAGATTATTGGGAAATGGTTACTGCCAACCCTGCGAAGCAGGAGTGGCTGGAGTTTCGGCAACTACAAGGAGGATGAGGCGGCGTGGGAGGCACCGAGCAGAACAGCGAGACGATAGAGGAGATACCTGTCACGGCCGACGAGATGGACTACTACGGCGCCGACCTGTGAGATATAGCGGAGAAGGGCATGGAGGGCATCTAGAGGCGACTTAAGAAGGCGAAACTCCGACGGGCGGCACCGCCTCCGGCCGCGCCCAGTGAACTCTGGCGCGTACTACTGTGCCCCGGGGAGGACCAGCCTCAACGACAACGACCAGGACTGGGGGCGCTCCAACCACCTATTCAACCAGAAGGATTCCAAGGCCTATTTCGAGCGGCATTAGCAGCCGTCGGGGTCAGGAACGCGACGCCAGTTCGTTGGCGCCAGAGCGCGGCTACAGCAGTGAAGAAGAATAACAACAAGTCGGGCCCAGCAGGCAAGCGCATCTACCACAACTTGGGCCCATCGGCAAATCTTTCAACTCATCATGCATGGCGCGGCAGAGGGCTCAAACGCACGCCGACCACGACTACGGCTTCATCCGAGGCAGGAGACGGGGGGGCGCCATCTTGACGATGGCAGTGATAGAATACGAGCCAGGCGAACTGGCTGCAACTACACCACGACGATGAAGGACATGTTTAACACATTCGTCAGCTGCGCCTGGTCCACCATGGATGAGGCTAACAGCAAGGTCGCGCCAGACGACTCCAGGGACTTGGAGGAACAACGGTATCGCCGAGCTACGTTCATCATCCCGCGCCGAGATCAGGAGGACTGAGTCTGCGTCAAACCACATTGCGGAGGGCTCATCGGTGACCCCTTACAGTGTCAACAATTTCGTGGCGAGCTTCTCCCCGTGCATCAAGGAATGTGTCAAGGATTGCAAGGAGGAGCTGAGAAACGACGACCTTGCGCGGCAGCAGCGAGATCTTCCAGCATCCAGTCTACTTAGGGCTGGCCAAGTGCGCGGGCGACCTACGCAAGATCATCCTCGGAGACAAGCGCGCCGACGCGGAGGACATGGCAGAGCAGGCCAGAAAGGTCGACGCATTTCTCAACCGGCGACTCAGCGAGATCGGCATGCGCCACGACCAGGGCATGCAGGATGCCATTATTCACATCCAGGGCCACGGCATGACCAAAGCGCACAAGGACGTGAATACCAAAGCCACATGCAAATTGCCAGGCAAAGTGGTTCCACATGCGCGTTATCTCGGACCACAGGTCAGCCGCGCGCAGAACTACGGTGCAGAGCTCAACGAGCGCATCGCGGCCACGAAGAAGAGCTACAACGAGTGCGGGAGCTTCTGGAGCAAGGCCCGCATCCCGTACAGGTGGGAGCGAGCGGTGCTCCTCTGCAGGGTGATCAACGCGGGCCTCTCGTGCATCGAGTGCTTCTGCCCGCGCCGTGCGAGTGCCAGCAGCTGCAGAGTGCCATGGGCGCTCTCCTTCGCCGAGCCATGCGAGGCGGCGCCACCCGTCGCAGAGAGGACGGCAACGTGCGGGGCCTGAGCACGCTGGAAGTCTTTCGCCGCTGGCAAATACTGCCGTCCGCGGAAGAAGCGCTGGTGCGCCGCCTCGGCTGGCTAACAAGCAGTCTCCGCTATCCCAGCAACCGCAAACAGCTGATCGTAACACTGTTTGGGAGGGTCGAGTTCGAGACGAATGACGTTGACGAGAGCCCGATCAGGACCGATTCGAATCCTTGGGCTCAGAGGTTCTTGGAGGATGTACGATGCGCCTGCGGGGTCTCGGGGAGAATCGGCAACGCGTTATGCGAGGGCGACAACATCACTATGGGCAAGCTACTCACACTAGACGTTAGAGAGCAATTATATTTACTGGGTGTTCGGGAAGTTCGGGCAGCTAAACTCGGAGCGGCGGCCCCCCCGCCAGTCTGCGCGACGAGATGTACAGCGCGAAGAGCTAACACTAGAAGAACAAAAACCATGGGAATGCGAGCTCAAACACGGAGATGAAGAATGCGGTCTACTATATGCGAGCAAGAAAGCGTTGCGCAGCCATATTATACGTGCACGCAATGTACACACTCTAGCAGCAGTACTCACGTCGAACAACGAGTGCCTGAACTGCCAACAAGTATTCACGTGTAAGGGAACAGCTTGGAAACATTGGCCCGCAGCTTGATCAAAGGAGGATGTAGCAGGGACCGGACAAACAATCAGCATGCCCTTGCTGGTCATGACCCTCAGAGTCCGCTCTGTAGTCATTTCTCTCTGGACAAAGGTGCGCGCTTCCGGCATCTACGTGCGCGTTTGCCGAAGCCTCTGCTATAGCCGCCGCTTGGAGTTAGACGTGCGGTTCGACCGGGGGCCAGCGAACCAGGCGGCAGTGGTGCAGCCGGGCGGGGGCGCAGCACGGCGAGACGATCGCAGCCGACAACGCGCCCCCCCCCGCGGCGCGGCGCAGCCATCGGAGGCAACCGGCAGCAGATCACGGAGCTGACGGCGCGGCTGACACTCATGGTGGCCAGAGAACAAGCTGAAGTCGCAGCCGCGCTCGTCCAGACTTGGGAAATGTCTTCGGCGGCCGGTTTCGCTCCAGCGGGCCTCGGAGTGGGAGAAGCGTGCAGCGACGAGGCCCAGACGCTCCACCAGAGGGCGAAGAACGGGGGGCAGAACGACGCAGGCAGCCTGGGCAGCCAGCGCGTGAGACGTGTGGGCGGAGACGCGCGCGCACCTGGGCAAGGCGCTCGAGGAGGGCGCGCAGCTCACAGAGATCACGAACCACTACCGCGACGTGGTACTGAAAGGCGACACGTGCCAGTGTTCAGGGTCCGACGCAACAGGGGCAAGGAGGGCAGCGGAGTCGAGTCGAGAAGTGCAGGTTCCAGTTCAAGTTCGGAGAGAATGGCCACCAGCTCTGCGCGGTCCTAACCAACCAGTTTAAGAAGGAGGGAGCGATCCGCAAGATAGTGTCGGCTCCGAGAGGCGCGTTGGAGAGGGAGCTCGGCCGCCTCGTGAGAGGATGCACGATTCTATGTATATATACACATGTATTCATATGTATGTATGTATGTATGTATGTATGTATGTATGTATGTATGTATGTATGTATGTATGTATGTATGTGTATATATATGTATATGTATATCCATATGTTTGTATACATCGTCACGATCGATGACACATGCGACTCGGCGGATACCGAGGCAGTGCACCGAGCAGACGAGGCTGCTCAGCTTCCACTCCTGGGAGGTGATGCGGAGGAAAACGATGTCCGAATTCGCTCAATCCTCCCCCAGCAGCTCCCCCAGGCCATCCCACGGGTTTTTGAGACCAACGCCAGGTTCCGTGAGATAGTACCCTCTGGACGTCTCACTCCTCCTCCCTCCTCGCAGACAGCTGTCCCTGACATCTGCCAATTCGAAGGCCCACGTTTTCCGAACTATACACTGCTAAACCGACCTCCCCCCCTCCCGAACCGACGCGCAAGGGAAGAGGTAAGGGTAAGCGGAGCCAGCTAAGCCACCAGCAGCAGAGCGAGAGACCTCCGTGAGTGCGGGTGCCACCCTGCCCGCAGGCCCCTGCGTGGGGGAGGTCGGTGCAGATCGGGCCCGCGCGTCCATTGACGTCAGCTCTACCAGTTTGAACTCAGAGAACACAGCTAGGCCGAGCTAGAAGCGCAGCTACTGAGTACCAGCTAGAGCGTCAGTCACCCAGACATCGGCCCGATAGCTCGATCGATCGATCCTCCTCCTCCTCCTCCTCCTCCTCCTTCTCCCCCGCCTCCTCCTCCTCCTCCTCCTCCTCCTCCTCCTGCCGCCGTGATCGGGGGGCCGCGGCGGGCACGGGGTGGAGGGGGGCCGAGCGCAGCGCGGGCCGAACGGCGCAAGGACATCTACCAGAAGCTGAGCAAGATCAAGACCGGCCTCATCACCGGCGAGGCCGCGCGGCGGCGGGACGGGGCGGAGGAGGAGGAGGAGGAGGAGGAGGAGGAGGAGGAGGAGGAGGAGGAGGAGGAGGAGGAGGAGAGGAGGAGAGGAGGGGAGGAGGAGGAGGAGGGAGGAGGAGGAGGAGGAGGAGGAGGAGGAGGAGGGAGGAAGGAGGAGGAGGGAGGAGGAGGAGGAGGAGGAGGAGGAGGAGGAGGAGGAGGAGGAGGAGGAGGAGGGGGAGGAGGAGGAGGAGGAGGAGGAGGAGGAGGAGGAGGAGGAGGAGGAGGAGGAGGAGGAAGGAGGAGGAGGAGGAAGAGGAGGAGGAGGAGGAGGAGGAGGAGGAGGAGGAGAAGGAGGAGGAGGAGGAGGCCAGACCCTTTCGCGGCGTGGAGGAATCACGGCGGACGGTTGTCTGTTATTTTTATTGTTTGGTTTCGGTGGGCCTTCGCGCTGGGCCTCTGTGGGCCATCGAGAGCTGAGCGGGGCGACAGGCTACCATCCAGGGGGGCGGGCGGAGCCTCTGGGGTTGGGGGTCGACGGAGGGGGACAGGCTCCGGCACAGGTGTTGCCCAGGACGCGACGACAGCGCAACGTCTTCACATACGTGGAGGTCCCCTGCGGACCCCGCGGGGCGCCCGTTTTTTTGTTGTTTGGCGGGGGGGGCTCGCGGCATTCCGAGTCGGGCTGTCGAGGGCGGCATCCGAGTTCCCGCGGTGGTCGGAGTGGCAACGGGCCGGCTCTGCTGCCCATTTTCCGCGTCAATCTTGAAGAGGAGGCTACAGGCAGGCCATTTCGACTGTCGGCCTCGCGCAGAGGGGGATAAGTAGGGGACCCGGGAAGGCTTCTTAGAAACACCCCTGCTTCTTAGAAGGCGCGGCCTTGTCTGTAGATGTAAGGCCCGCGCCTTCTGAGAAGCAGCCTCCTTCTGAGACGCCTTCAGCCCTCCCCCGACCCCCTTGTGCGCGCCGCCAAGACTGTCGGGGCAGCCTTCGCGACTGCATGCCAGAGTCTGCCCCTGCGTGTCGGAGCGATGCGGCAAAGCACGCGTGTTGTGCTTAAGTTCCGTTGGGCATTGATCAGGAGGTGAAAGCACACACAGGCACAATGAATCGCCGATCCCCAGGAAAAGATGGGAAACTCTGGGACGTGGGGGGGAAGGTAAAGACCCAGAAGATATAGGGGAACTATGGGGCATCCTGTGATTTGTGTCTATTTACTCCTGTGTACCAGGGCCCCTTCAGTGGACTCTGGTCAGAGTGATTCGGGCGACCTGTGCAGCGCTGGCATCGGACGCTCGCGCGACGCGAACCAGAAGAAGATGCTGGGTGCGCCCGCATTCGGCTGGGGCCACCGCGGGCCCCTGGGGGGTCCGGCCCGCCCCCCCCGTTGTTGCGGATGGCGCCCCCCCTGCCACGGAGCGGCTCTGGATCTTATTGTCAAGCTACCGCGTCGCCTCTACCGTGTGCTGTGCACATTCCTGCTGCTCCTCCTCCGCCTCGCGTTGCTGTTCCCAGGATTCCTCGTGGCTGCTGCCACTATTGCAGGTACCACTGCTCATCGTGTTTCAACAGGGGTGCTACGGATAGGGTGCCTACCACAGCCACGCCGCTTTCGCTTTACAAAACTACTCTGGGATCGCCATCTTCCGCCAGCGCTTCCCATGATTACCACCGTCATGCAATAGATTGCATCCTCTAGCGTTATTGTGCTTGCATCATCAACGCTGCCCCTCTAGTATCGCAGTTGACACGCTACATCACTGTATGGTGCTGTCGTGTTCTCTAGCGCTATTGCGTGGCGTGTTAGCGCTGTGAGTTAGTGCGGTGCTTGCATTTAATACGCAAGCGCCTCTGACGGTTAAGATGCTCTCTCTTTTGCCCCCATTCTCTTCCGCCTCCCCCCTTCCCCTTCCTTCCCTCGCCCACTCCCTTCCCCCTCCCCTCCCTGGTCCCCCCCCCCTCTCTCTCCCCACTTCGCATTTCTCCCTCCTCCTCCTCATCCTCATCCCCCACCCCCCTTTCCCTGTTTGCCCCAGCCGTTCCATTCGCCCTCGTTCCCGATGCCCTCCCCACTACGCCTCCCCGCCCTTGTGTCCCCCTTCGCGGGCCAACCCGCGACGCCAGCGACTGCCCCTCGACCCAGGAGGCGGCCGGATTTTGGACGGACGAGAATGCCAAGACCCACAACAGGAACTACGGCATCAAAGCAGCAGTCTTAGGGACAGGGGCAGGGGGATGAGGAGGAGGAGGAGAAGGAGGAGGAAGTGGAGGAGGAGGAGGAGGAGGAGGAGGAGGAGGAGGAGGAGGACGAGGAGAAGGAGGAGGAGGAGGAGGAGGAGGAGGAGGCGGAGGAGGAGGAGGAGGAGGAGGAGGTGGAGTATGCTGGATGTGGTGGTGGTGGTGGTGTGGTGGTTTGGTGGTGGTGTGGTGGTGGCGGGGAGGAGGAGGTGGAGGAGGAGGAGGCGGAGGAGGAGGAGGAGGAGAGGAGGAGGAGGAGGAGGAGGAGGAGGAGGGGAGGAGGAGGAGGAGGTAGGAGGAGGAGGAGGAGGAGGAGGAGGAGGAGGAGGAGGAGGAGGAGGAGGAGGAGGAGGAGGAGGAGGAGGAGGAGGTAGGAGGAGGAGGGAGGAGGAGGAGGAGGAGGAGGAGAAGGAGGAGGAGGAGGAGGAGGAGGAGGAGGAGGAGGAGGAGGCGGAGGAGGGAGGAGGCGGCGGCGGCGGCGGCGGGGCGGCGGCGGCGGCGGCGGCGGCGGCGGCGGAGGAGGAGGAGGAGGAGGAGGAGGAGGAGGAGGAGGAAGAGGAGGAGGAGGAGGAGGAGGAGGAGGAAGAGGAGGAGGAGGAGGAGGAGGAGGAGGAGGAGGCGGAGGAAGGTGAGGATCGGGAGAATGAGTCGATGTCGGGGGATTGTGGAGTCCTTCGGTGTTCTAGGAACGTCGTACGCTCCTTTCCCCTCTCTTCATCATTATCTTTCTCATTCCTTTCTCTCTTTCTCTGTCTCCTCACCCTCGTATGCTATTCTATTCTTCTGCCCCCCGCTTGCAGTGCACTTCTAAAATCTTTGGATGGTCGGGCAGAGTCTGAGAGGGTGGATTTTCTGTTAGAATGTTCTCCAGGACTCTCCAGAGTTGTACAACAATTAAAGAACTTTAGACTGCCATGGTCGATTCAATAATGTTTTAGGAACCTCCAGAAGACCCAGGCGGGTGCTGCATGGGCCCAGGCTTTCCTCACCGCCCTGGAGTGCTTGGGAAGGCGTGGGTTGCTTCAAAGATAATGCAGGGTTGATTTCGAGGATTTTATTATGTTGAAGTGCGTTTTAAACGGATGTTTGGAACCTTGGGGGAAGGAGTGCTTTGAGGGTGCCAGCGATTAGTAGAAGGATCCAGAGGGCTCGTGGATGCTGTAAAAAAGGTCACAGAAGGCTCTGAGAGCATGGCTCTTTGTTGCCCTCTTAGGCTCCAGGAGGCCCCCGAAAGTATGCGAATGCAGCACGTGGGCTTCAGAAGGCTCGAGAATTATATGTAATTCTCGGGTGCTGTTGATGGCTCTAGAGGGCACCACACTTTTGTCGAACGCCTGAAAAGGGTCCTAGACAGCTCTGGAAGGATCCAGCCGGCCGTAGCGGATTCCAAGATGCTCGAGATGGCTCCAGACGGATCCAGAGGGCTCGAGTGTTTTCGAAGGCTCTAGGTGGCTCCCAACGGCCCTGACGGTGCTAGCATGCCCCAGAGGGCTCGAACACTCTCGGAGGGGGTGATAGAGGGATGCGACAGGGAGTTCTCCAGAGTCCTCTCAAGGACTCCAGGGGGTTAAGACATGCTCTCGGGGTCACCAAAGGATTCCAGTTTGTTTTAGAGTGCTCTAGGAGGCTTGAGAGGGCTCCGGGGATACCTGCGGGCAGCAGCAATCCTGTGAGCACGCGCTGGAGGGCTCTCTGTGGCCCTGGGGTGCTCTGGGGAACTCTTAGGATGCTCTGGTGCTGGGGCGTTCCAGTATGGTCTAGCAGAAGGCTCCGGAGCGCTTCGGAAGCTTGCAGAACGCAGCCGAGAGCTTCAGACCTCTCGTGGGGGATCTGGAAGGCTCGGGTGCTCGAGAGGGCCCCGCAGGGCACCGAGATGCGTTCGCGAGCCTGCAGTGCCCTAGGCAGCCCGTGCAAGGTTTCCAGCACAGCCCATGAGGCTGCGAACAGGATTCTGTGATGCCCTTGGGGGGCTCCAGACCGATCCAGGGGGCTCGTGGGTGCTCTCGCGTGCCCTCGGGGACCCTCATGCTGCTCTAGAAGGCTCTGACATGGTTGTGCCTGCACCGGGGAACTCGTAAATCCTTTCGAACTTCCATGCGGCATTCAAAACATCCTCTCGGGTGCCCCCGTGGGTCTTCCGTAGTTCTAGAGGTTTGAGGCATGCGCTAGGGGCGCCAGAGGGCTGCGGTGAGATATAGATAACTGAATGCGCTAGAAGGCTTGCAAGGATTCTCGGAAGCTCCAGAGGGCCCGCGGCTGCAACCCAATGCTTTAGACAGTGCGGCTGGGCCCTGCGAAGCATTGGGATGTTCTAAAAGGACTCTAGAACGCTTTGGGGGGCTTCAACATGGTCTAGTGTGCTCTGCAGGGCTCTGGGGTGCTCTTCGCAGACCTCCTCCTCCTCCTCCTCCGCCTCCTCCTCCTTCTCCTCCCCCTCCTCCTCCTCCTCCTCCTCCTTCTCCTCCTTCTCCTCCTCCTCCTCCTGCTCCTCCCCCTAGAAGTGTTAGGAATGATGTAGAGGGCCGTAGAGAGCTCAGGGAGGACCTGGAAGGCTTGAGTGTCCGAGGACTGGGCAGGGCACCACACTGCGTCCGAACGTTCAGGGGGTCCCCGGCAGCTCTTGCGGGTGTCCAGAATGATCCCAGAGGCTGTAGTCGAAGAAGAAGAAGAAACAACCAGATAAACATAAATTTTTGGCGCTCCGCGCGGATTTCTTGGATCCGCGCTGGGCCCCCCCCAGCGGCGCCTCCGGCGCCGCCCCTGGCGCGCTCCTCGCGCCAGGGAGGGGGGCCCCGCGCGAATCCAAGCAATCCGCGCGGAGCGCCAAAAGTTTATGTTTATGTGTTTTTTCTTTTTCTATGTACAGGGTTTCAGAATATTTTGGAGGTCTCTAGACGGCACTCGGGTGCTGTCGATGGCTCTCTGGGAACCCCACGCGGCTCCAGAAGGCCATGAGAAACCCAATCAGTGCCAGCACTTAGGGGTTCTTATCTCGTTTCTGAGAAACTGGGCCTGGGTGGCGGTCTGGCGGCTCCGTGCTCGCCTTCGCCGCCTCGTCGCCGCCCGTCGTTTGTGCTTGGGTGGCGGTCCAGCGGCCCCGTGCTCGCAGTTGCCGCCCCGTCGCCGCCTCGTCGCCGTCCGTCGCCTGGGCCCGGGTGGCGGTCTGGTGGCTCCGTGCTCGCCGTCGCCGCCCCGTCGGCGCCCCGCATCATGGGTTCTCCTTGTTATCGAGTAAAGGTTTGAGGATCTCCCCCCCCCTCGAGCGTGCCCCGCCCCTTGGGATGGTGCAGGGCACGTGTGGTTCTGCCCCGTCTCTCATTTCAGATGTGAGCTCATATCATCCCAGCTTGGCCGTCATCGCCCCCCTCATCCCTGTCAAATAATCGCATGCGCGCGCACTCGCTTATCGCAAATCATCCATTTCCAAGAACCCCTTGCAACAGAACGGCGAGACCAAGTCGACTCGCGCGCGTCGTCGCGCGCGCGGGCTGGAATGTTTCAACGCCTTAGCTTTCGCTGGGATTTCAAGACCGAGGTTTCCGACCACATGTGAACAGCCAGTGGCTCTGCAACGTGAGTTTCCCCGCAAAACCTGCGAGCGCGCCCCCGCGAATTCTTGGGGAGCAATTTTGAATGAACGATGCAACATGCAAACTACGCAATAACGCCACTTCATCAAATCCGACCAAGCCAGCCTCTCGCGCGCGCATGCCGAACTCATTCGAAAGCCCTTGCGCGCATGCTGTGAGGGGGGGGGGCTTGACCCTTGTCACATGAGACCGTGCGGGCCAATCGTGCGCGTCGGCCGCGCACGCGCGTGTCGAAATCCTTCCAACAATTTCATCGCCGTCGCGTGGGCGCCGCCATCGTCATTCGCGTGGCCCGCATCGTTGCCGCAATTGACCTTGCCGTCGTCGTCGTCGTCGTCGTCGTCGTCGTCGTCGTCGTCGTCATCATAGCCGCCATGATCGCTGCCGTCATCGCCGTTTCCATCATTGCCGACGTCGCCCTGCTACTGCGCCCGCCCGAGTCACTGACTCGCAATGAAGTGCCCGCGCGCCAGCGCGGCCTGTGGTTCGCGCTGGGATGTCCCCACCGGTCAGCGCCGCCGCGGCCGAGTCGGTCGCGCCAGACTAGCTGGCCGCTGTGCGCGCGATCATGCGGGCGCCAGCGCGGCCGCGGAGATTCGCCAGCCAACGCCAAGCACTCATCGCAATGGCCGCCGCATGGGTTCTGCAAACCAACTTGCGGGTGGGTGGGTAGAGTGATTGCGCGAGCAGTGAAGTTGGCAGGTCCAAGTTCTTCAGATTTCATTGCGCCGCATTATTTTCATGTCTACAAGGAATATTCCCCCCAGTGTATCGCTTCTCCTGGGGATTGTGCCATCTGCAAGTCTACATGTGATTCTGCCCCCTGTTTTTTTTCATGAAAATTGATACCCTCCTGGGGAGCCCTCCCGGGGAGTTCCCTTATCGACCCCCTTCTGTTCCCTTTCGCAACAACAGTATGCGCGCGCGGCCAATTGTCCCGAATCATTAACTGCCAAAAACGCTTTGCACAGGATGCAGAGACCACGCGCGCGGCGTCGCGCGCGCACGCCAGCGTTTTTCAAGCGCTTTTATGTTTCGCGCGGAATTCAAGACCGCGGCTCCTGAACACAACGTACCAATGATTGTGCAACGCGTGTTCTAAAACAACCTGTGCGCGCGCGCGCTCTTGCGAACTCTTCAGGGAGCCATCGGCTATCCAACACTGCGAGCAAATCAGAGCCCGCGGGCCTCGCGCGCGCAGCTCGATGTCATTCGATCGCCCTTGCGCGACCATTGTCAAACAGTGCCATGTCATGCGGACCACTCGCGCGCGTCGGCCGCGCGCGCGCGTCGAAATCCTTCCGGGACCTTCGTCGACGACGCGTGGGCGTCGTCGTCGCCGCCGGCGTGACCAGCTTCGGCGTCGTCGTTGGCCCTGCCGTCGACAGCGTCATCATCGTCGCCGTCGTCGCTGGTATCATCATCATCGTGTCCTCTGTTGACGACGTCGCCGCGACGCCGCGCCCGCCCGGGTCGCCGATCCGCGCGGAATCGCCTGCACGCCAGCGCGGCCGGTGAGACGTGCCGGTGCGGCGGCCGTGCTGAACTAGCTGGCCGTTCTGCGCGCGAGCTTGCGCGCGCTGCCGCGGCCGCAGAGATGCGCCAGTTGGCGCGCGACTCATCGCAATCGCCGCCGCGAGGGTTTTGCAAGCCGAATTGCGGGTGGATGGGCGGGTCCTGCAGAAGCTCTCTCCATGTCCTTCCAGATTCTTCGCCAGGCCTTTCCACGCCCTTCGGGCGCGCTGCTGTCCCGGTTTTGGACTCCACAAGTGGACTGCGCAAGGTCTTTCGGAGACTCTCTCTCCACATCCTTCCAGAGTTCTTCGCCAGGCCTTTCCACGCCCGTCGTGCTTGCGCAAGCAGTGGGCCAAGTTCTTCAGAATGATTTGCAGCACGTCGGGTTTCCATCGCCAAAAGAAATTAGGATCTACCCCGCCTTCCCCGGGTTGATCGCTTCTCTGAGGGTAGTGCAATGCGCGCGCGGTTCTGCCCCATCGTTCGTTGTAGACATGCACTCATATCATCCCAGCTTGGCTCGGCGTCGCCCCCCCTTTTCATCCCAGTCAACTGTTATTATGCGCGCGCACTGGCTTATCAAAAACCTGACATGTTCAACAATTCCTTGCAAGTAATTCTTTGCGACAGATGGACAAAGTCGACGCGCGCGCTGTCGCGCGCGTGTCGGAAGTTTCCAAACACCGTAGGTACTGTAGGTATGCCAAGCCAGATATTTCTGAGCACGTATTAAGCAGCACAACGAGCTGTTTTGCAACGTTGTGAACTCGCGTGGGACCTTTTTGAAAACATGTTCAAGCACATCGCACGCGACCAAGCGGGCCTCTCGCGCGCGCGTGTTGAAGTCATTCGAAGGTCCTTGCGTCCTTGCGCGCTTGCAGGGGGGTGAGGTGCTCGATCGCTGTCGAGTAGCACCATGCGGGCCGCTCGCCCGCGTCGGCCGCGCGCGTGCGCGTCGAGATCGCCGACGCGTGGGCGCCGTCATCTTCGTCGGCGTGACCAGCGTCGGCGACGTCGTTGGTTTTGTCGTCGTCGTTTTCATTATCGCAAGTATCGTCGCTGCCATCGTCATCGCGCCCGCCCCGTGCCGACGTCGCCGCGATGCTGCGCCCGCCCGAGTCGCCGACTCGCGCTGAAGGGCCCGCGCACCAGCGCGGCCTGTGAGACGCGCTGGGAAGTCCCCGGTGGTCAGCGCCACCGCGGCAGCGTCGATCGCGCCAGACTAGCTGGCCGCTGTGCGTGCGAGCACGCGCGCGTCAGCGCGGCCGCAAAGATGCGCCAGCCAGCGCCAAGCAGTCATCGCAATCGCCGCCGCATGGGTTCAACCCAAATTGCGGGTGGGTTGGTGGTGTGAATGCGCGAGCAGTGGAGTTGACAGCTCCAAGTTTTTCAATCTGTGCACCTCGCAGATTCCCCGCTGTAAAAACGAAGCATCTGCCGCCCCCCCGGGAATCAACGCTGTCCTGTGGTGCCGTTTCCATTTATATGTATGTGATTATGCCCTATCGTTCATCGTTCGTTTTTACTACGAACGCACAAAATCCCAGGGAGTTCCGTTACCGAGACCCCTCCCTCATCTTCGTCAAATTAAGTATGCGCGCGCGCTCGCTCATCAAAAACCCGTGCAAGGCCAACAATGCCTTGCAACAGATCTTTCGCGCGCGTTCTTTCGCGCTTTTGCGCGCTTGCTGGGGGCGGGGGGGGAGGTGCATCGAGAGCATGAGCCTGGGCCCTCCAAGAAGATGCCCCCGTGCAGGGAGGGGGGTCGGGATACCTCTGGGGCCGCGGTGGTGGGAGACAGCGAAGCAGCAGGGAAGAAGAGGGGAAGGAACTCTGGGGCCGCAGTGGTGGGAGGCAGCGGAGCAGCAGGCATGGGGAGGGCAATGGTCGGTGGCGCGCCCAGGGAAAAAGCGAAATGGGGCACGGCAAGGCTTCTCCGAAGGCGGCGGGGCTTCTCAGAACCCCCCTGCGCCTTCTGAGAAGTTTGCCTAAGCCTTCTCCGAAGACAGCCACGGCTTCTCAGAAGGCCAGGGGGCTTCTGAAAAGCCCCGCCGCCCTCTGAGAAGGCCGGCCTCCTCTCTTCTCCCTGGGCTCGCCGCTTGGGGACTTCTGGGGCCGCGGCGATGGGAGGCAACGAGCAGCAGGCTGGGGTCTGGGAAGGAGGCGCGGAAACGGGGATGTGGGCTTCCAGGCAGCCCGAACGGCTTCGAAGTAGATGGGATCGATGGATCGCGCCGCATCGCCGATGCGGCCCGCTGTGGAGCCCGCAGTTCTCCACCCCGGCGCTCAGGTTTTCCTGCGCCTCCTGGAGTCCTTCATGTCCAAGTGCGCGTCCGGCGACGACCGGTTTACCTCCTCTGGCAACACGGCGCGGCCATGTGGGGGGAGCTCGTCTCAGGAGGAGGAAAACGCACGGACACAATGAGTCGTCGATGCCCCGGGAAATATGAGAAAATGTGGGAAGTGGGGGGGAAGACGAAAACCCACAAAATATGGGAACATATGGGACATCCCGGGATTTGTGTGTATTCATGTGCGTGTCCCTGGGCCCCTTGAATTCGATGCGATCCGATTCGGAGCCGCGATTCAAGAAGTCCGCGCGGAGCTCCAAAGGTTTACGGATCTAAGGTTTGTCCGGCGCAGCCCCTGGGGCGCTCTGCACGCCAGGGAGTGGGGGGCCCAGCGCCGATCCAAGACGTCCGCGCGGACCTCCGCCAGCTTACAGTGGAGGCCCATGCCAAGAAACACCCTGCTTGCCTCCAGGGTGCCCTGTGTTTCTCGGGCTTCGATTGCTTTACGATGGAAAGCGTGACGTTCCCACACCAAGAACCAATGCACGTCCTGGGGTCTCAGGGTTGGGTTTCTTGTGGAAGGTTTCCTGTTGAGGGGCCTCCACTGCATGCTTTCTTGCCTCTTTCTGTTCCTCCAGAACCGCTGCCCGTCACTCGTCGCCACGGCTGGATCCGCTTCGAGTGCCACCATAGTCAGAGCACGGCCAGGGAGAGGCCCCCAGGGCAGCGGTATCGCTTTCGTGTCCTCAAGACGCACCGCTCCGCGCGGGAACGCGGCAGGACAGGCCTTTCCGTCTGCGCCCGAGGTCGTCTCGGTGGGTCTCGACCCCTCTTGGGCGGATCGGGGCTCGCTCGCCTCCTGCGCAGGACGGCGCGGTCGGGCAGAGCTCCCCGTGCTCCAGCCCTGGACTTCCGACGTGTTGAGCGATTCCATTCGGAGGCGTTCTCAGTTTTCGGCCTTCGGGGGCCCTCGCCAGGCCCCGGGGACAGCTCCAACAACGACTCACGATGAAAAGCCTGCCCCGGGGGAAGGATCGGGATTTCCGGGGAGTCTGTTACAGGCTCCCCGGAACTCCCGATCCGCATTGAATGTTGAATACAGGCTGTATTCAACATTCTGATCACAGGCTGTGCTGATTGTTGACTGTTGAATAGAGGCCGTATTCAACAATCAGCACATCGGATCTCTGGGCCTGTGGATTTTTTCGGGCGTCGTGCTTGTTTTATCTTGCTTGCCGGTCTTGGACGCTGTTGCCCGTGGGCTTCGCCCAATGATGGAGGCCGCTCTCGAGGCCAGAGGCCTCGAGGAGTCGATTGGTTCGGATGCAACTCTTGGGAGGTCGAATTCTGTCTTTGCCCTGGTCCGAAATCTGGCTTAATCCGCCTCCTCCTCCCTCCTCCTCCTCTTCCCTCCTCCCTCCTCCTCCTCCTCCTCCTCCTCCTCCTCCTGCTCCTCCTCCTACTCACTCCTCCTCCTGCTCCTCCTCCTCCTCCTCCTCCCGCTTAATCCTGGTTAGCCCTGCTAAATCCCACTCAATACGCGGCCTAATCCAGCGCGGTGGCCCCCCAATGGGGCTTATTCCTCCCCAGTCCCTCCGACGAAGACCTCCCAGTATTTGCCTCCTGGGATCTGGTTCGACAGGCCGGCCCCGGGGAAGGGGTCGAGACTTCTGGGGCGGCCACGGGCTGAATAAAGCACGGCGTCGGATGTCTGGACATCGTCTCCGGGCGCCCA